GCATGAGATCCCCCTTACTATCTCTCTAGTTCTAGCTTAGTTTTGTAAGAGTTTCTAAATTCCAACATGAGATTCCAGGGTAATCGAGTTACTGCTATCAGCGCTGTCACCAGAGACCCTCCCTTGAAACCAGAAAAGGACAGAATGAGACAGAGAGATGAATTACTACTGACTGAGGGGGAGAGATCTGCAGCATAAAGGGGAGGGCCGGGGGTGGCTGTGTGGAGATGGGAGCAGGTTTCTGTAGTTTGTGTTGCTCTTTGACTGGGCCAGCTGTCCCAGGATGAACATTCACATCTAGGAGACATATTTAAGCAGCTTATGTTTAAATTAGGGATGGTATGCAATCTAGCATGCTAGTGTAGTAGATAATACGGACTGAGTGGCCACTATACCTATATGCCAGCTGCTGGGCCAGATGTCTCAGACATGTAATATGATTTAACTATCTACAGGTTAAATGACTTCCCTAAACTCACAGCACTAAGGAATAATATAGCCAAAGTTTAAATATAATTAATTCCAGTTCTTTTACATCACACCACCTCCCAGTAACTTCTGTTTTAGACACCTGTCTTTAACCATTTACCTTGGCATTGTTGATTGCAGCCCCATAGCCAGTCGAAAACCCACATCCAAGCAGACAAACTCTCTGTAAATTTGCATCATCATCAATTTTGGCAAGATTAATGTCTGACACCACAGTATACTGAGAAAACCCACTGATTCCCAAGAAATGGTAAATTGATTTTCCTTTGCAGGTGAACCTGCTGGTTTTGTCTGCCATTAGTTCTTGGTCAATAGCAGGATTTTTATCTCGACTAGAAAATTTAAAAAGAGAGATAAAAGAGGAAAAAGTAAATGAAACACTGATCACTTTCCTATGAAATATATTGTCATGAGAATTTTGTAAGATGGAGAAATTGAGAAAATAACTTAAGACTTTTGATAATATAGTCAAAGTGTAGTATTGGACTCCTTACTAAGTGTGTCCCTCAGCAACTCGCTTCTTTCTCTTAACATTATGTGTTTGAGATTATTCTATGTTAATAGGTATGGTTCAAGTTTAGCCATTTTCATTGCTGTATTGTATTCCATTTTGTTATCACATAGTAATATTCTATTCTATTCTAGTCTATTCTATTCTATTCTATTTAAACAGAATCTCACTCTGTTGTCCTGGTAGAGTGCCATGGTGTCATACCTCAGGCAATCTTACACTCTTGGACTCAAGTGGTCCTCCTGCCTCAGCCTCTTGAGCAGCTGGGACTACAGACCGCTGCCACTAAGCCCGATTAGATTTTCTATTTTTAGTAGAGACAGAGTCTTGCTCTTGCTCAGGCTAGTCTTCAACTCCTCGCCTCAGGTGATCTATCTGCCTTGGCCTCCCAGAGTGCTAGGATCATAGGCATGAGCCACCATGCCTGGCCCATAGTAATATTTTAATCCTTAATCCATTGTTTTATTGATGGAGATTCATGCTGTTTTTAATTGCTTGCTCTAATGAAAAGTGTTGCAATGAACATTCTAGCATGTGTCTCTATGTGTATTTGCAGCAGTGTCTTGTACACTCCTAGGAGAAGAACTAGGAGGTAGAATATTTGTACCTCTTCAACTCCATTTAGATATTGTCAATGTGATTCCCAAAATATGTGTATGAATTTATATTCTTCCTAATAGTGTATAGAGCTTACCTGAGTTTTTCACAAATATTTGTGAGTGGGCTCAGGCAAAACTTGCATTTTTTACATTGAGGTGCATATAATGGAATTACTTTGTCACCTAGAAAGAAAAGGCATATGTTTGATGGTGCCTGAGATGTTACTTATAATTTCTACCCAAGGAATCAGTAGAAAACACTATTTCTCTATAGTATGCATGGCTATAGTGTTTTATTATCTTACGAGTATGCATGGCTATACTTAAAATTGCCACCCAAGGAATCAGTAGAAAACACTATTTCTCTATAGTATGCATGGCT